GACTTAAGCATATAATTTTGAGGGGTAAACAAGCCAGCCTATGATATATACATACACATATGCATACACATATACATACACATACACATATAATTACTTAGCTTGTATAAATGTTTAATGTTTCAAATATGCATGCATAAATTTGTACACACATACAATATGGCATGTATATAAATACATATGTACACACACACATTGATGGTGAGCAAAGCAGGGGTCAGGACCGCTGACCCCCTACTACTGAGAAGTTGCATATTACTTCTGACTTCCCTAAAACTCATTTTACCTTGGTATGCACAAGGGATGCGTTTCAGGACTTGTCATGGATACCAAACTGCTAATGCTCAAATTTACTATGTAAAATGGTGTAGATCAGTGCATACTGTCAGCCCTGTGCATCTGCTGACTTCCAGCCATGGTTCAAAAACAATAAGGTATTTACAGAAAAAAATACATAGATAAGTGGACCTGTGCAGTTCAAACCTGTGTAGTTCAAGGGTACTGTGTGTGTATATATATATATATATATATATATATATATATATATCCAAAGGAAAAAATATATTCATTGTATTAGTGCATATTGATGAAATCAAGGAATGAAGAAAGATAAGTTTCCAATATATGCCTTTTAATGTTATGGAATAGTCTATATTTTAACTAAAATGAGCTCCAAATATATGTATAATACTCAATTTTTCATTGACAATTGGATGCTAGTAATTTGCAAGTGCTCAGCACTCCTCTGCAGGTGTTCACTATCAATCCAAATTTATGAGTTAAGTTTTTGTCCCTGGGTTCCAGTATCATGTTTAAAACCTCCTACTACCTAACTTTGTTAAGGACACTTGTTAAAACTTCATTTCATAGTCACTGCCTTTTCATATCTAAATATCTTCAAGTCAAAAGGATGAAGCTTTCCAACTCTCTGCTATCGTTCCCTTTTCCCTCTCTCTATACTACCACCTATCGATTAACCTAGTTTTCTCTCCATTCCTTCAGCACGTCATAGCCAAACTTTGATACATTTCAGCCTGCCTAAAACATCTCTCCTCCCTTCTACCTGCAAATTTGCAAAGGCCAAGCTCAGTCTTATTTTTTGCCTTTGTTCTCTGAAGACAATAGGTTTTCCTTCAGTCCTCTGTGCTCACTGGTGGACAGTACTACTCAAACACTTAATTAGAAAATATAGATGTATTATAAAGATTAAGTTTTATTATGTTTTGTTTTGTTGTTTTTGTCTCCCAAACCACCAAGCAAATTTCTGATTGCATGGTAGATGTTATAAGTGCTTATTAATTGATTAATTCACAACGGGGAAAGTAAATTCAATAAAATGAATTATCATTGTGAAGCACCAAAGCTTCTCTATGTTTGCTATGGTTAATTCTATTATATTAATTAAATGAAGAATATAAATGAATTACATTGTTTCAAGTATTTAAATTGCCAATTCTAATAGTCATACTAGAACATTTGTTAGTTTAGTTTTCCATAAATACAAATTCAACATTTAAACATTTAAAATTCCCTTTACTTGATAAAATATGATAAGTGTTTTCTAGATTAAATATTAAAAAAAACAAATAATAACGAAGTTCTTACCGTGTAACATCAACCGTGCCCCCTCATCATTGGTCTCTTCCCCATGTACTGGGTCTTTCTCATGGGTGTACAAGCAATGTTATAATTTTAACAAGTATGTACCTTTTAAAGAAAGTTTCCTTGAGCATACATCCTTCACTAGTGACTGCAAAACACTGCAGTGCAATTGTTTATTTCAGCACTTCTTAAAGGAATACACATCATGTAGGGCTCTTGTCAAAATTTAAATTCTAATTCAGAACGTATGTGCTTGCTGTTTTATCAAATTATCTGAACACTTGGTGGCTTAAAACAACAAACGTTTATTTGGACGCAGCCTTGCTGGGTCCCTCCGGCTCAGGGTCTTTTGCATACCTGCAGTCAAGGTGTTGGCTTGGACTGTAGTCAACTTTAGGCTTCCTTGGAGAGGAATCTTCTTCCAAACTCCCTCCTTTGGCTATTGGCAGGCCTCTGTCTCTGCTTGCTGTTGGTCAGTGACATCAGTCCTTTGCTATGTGAGTCTCTTCATTGGGCAACTCACAACATAGCTGCTTGCTCCACAACAGAGAGAAAGAAGGTAGGGATGCAGCAGGGTAGGCAAGAAGGAGCCAGAGACTTTGTGCAGCCTAGTCTCAAAAGCAGCCTGTCCTCACTTGTGTCTTCTGTTCAAGAGGAGGGAGTCACAGGAAGAGGCATTACAGGAAGTAGGAGTCCTTGGAGGTTCCATCCCAAAGGCTGCCTGCCTCAGTATTTTTGGAGTGGGGTCTGAAATTCTACATTTCTGAGAAACTCCTCAGTGCTGCTCTTCAATGATGGTCTGTCAGTAAACAGGAACCTACACTTCCCACCCCAGTTTCTTAATTTCGGTCATCCTGTATTGGTCTCACTCACTCCAGTTAGGTTTTCTCTCCCTCCACTCCACTGATATCGCCCTTTTTGAAGTTACCATTCGCTTCCACATTAGTAAATTCAGCCTTTGAAAAAATTGAGCCCTCTTTCTGAATATCTTTCTTGACTTGGCTTCTGCAACACCAAATTTACACTTCTTCTCAGTTTTTTTGCTAGCTACCTATCCCTGGCTAAAAGTGTAACGTATCCTACAATTTAATCAATCCTTGGAACTCTGGTTTTTTTTATTAACTTCAAAATAATCTTATGAAAGCTTATATAGCTGAAAATTCCAGATATATGCTGACCACTCTCAAATGTAGGTCTCCTATGTGGATTTCTCCCCTAAAACCCTGACACATTTAATGTTTATCAAGTGCCTCAATGAAACTCTCTACTTGGATGTGTAATAGTAATGTCAGGCTTAAATATTCAAATCTGAACTCTTTATTCCTCCTCCCCTCTCTTGTCTTTTCCCCTATCCACCCAAACTGGCACTCTTGCTTCATATACATGTTTGAAAACCCACAACAATCAGTATCACTGTAAAATCAGCTATTCAAGTCAAAACCCTGCAAGTCACCCTTGAGTTTTCTCTGTCTCTCATTATAAACAATCATTAGATTTTGTCAGTTTTGCCTGTTAAATATCACTTGACTTTGCCATTCCCCATCCCAACATCATCACCCTGGTCCAGACCATTACTACATATTATGTAGAGTTCTGCAGCTTCCTACTGCAAGCCCAAAAGATTTTACTCAACCTCTCTTTTTTCCATGCTCACTTTTATTCTATAGGGTAAAGCTTAGATTCTTTAAAATTGTTTGTAAAACCATACATAATCTGGCCCCTGATTCCTTCTCTGGCCCCATTGATCTCTGCTTCCCCTGAACTTCAGCGATTCAGTCACTGAGCTCTAATAAAATCTTCCCATTTGACTTTGAGTCATGACAATTGTTTCCCTCTTTGGAGTGTTCTTCCTCCCCTTCTTTGCTTGAGTAGCTTTCACTTACTTCAAGTTTTAGCTTAAATATGACTTCTTAGAGGGCTTTGACCTCTTGGACTGGGCTTAGAGTACCCACAATGTAATCGATGGTATTATATATATTCTTATCTTAACAGTCATTATATTTTATACTTGTCTTTATTTTTTCTTTTAAATTATCTTTATTATTTTCTTCAATTAAGCTCTGAGATTTGGGAAAGCCAGCTCAGGAGAAATAGATTCAGGTATTGTTATTTTGAAGCCCGAAACATTTAATTTGGGGGCCTCTTTAAGAATAAAAATATGAAAAATATATACATGCATATGTAAGTGAAATTTGAATATTCACTTATAAAAAGAAATTCCAACAAAGTAAAAAAATTAAGGAAACTGAGAAATATTAAAATATATGGCCCTATGAATATTGCTTGGAGCCCTCCCCAGAATCCCAAAGATTAAGCCTTATTAAGTTCCTAATAAATATACCCATGTGTATTAGTCTTCTTTAAAGTGATATATCTGGTATCAGGACAGTGCTTACCAACACAGCAGGTACTCAATAAATATTTTTGAATTAATATGTTAACTGAGTTATTATCAGTTATATTTTATACATTTGACATTTAACAAGTTTTTCACAAATTAGATTTTTAGAATATGTTTTACATACTATATAATTCCTTTTATATTTATTATTTTTAATTATTTGCTATGATCATGTTTCAAACACTAATCATGTTCATATCTTTGGGCCCTATTCAAAAAGTCTGCTGTATCTCTTTACTGGAAAAAACTTTTTCTCTGCATCAATCTTCCTTATGTGTGTATGTGTATATATGTGTGTCTATATATTTATAGGTCACATATATTACAACTTTAAGATTAATTTTAAATTGCTAAGATTTAATTTTTAAATACCCCACCAGTAGAAATCCTTTGGGGAGAAACCATCTATTTTCTATTTTCTTTATGTTTTTATAAAAACATTTGTTTCCAGAATAATACAGGTACCAATACTTTATGTAACTTATGAAGTGCATTAAATGTTTCCTTTATTATGAATTTGTCCACAAGACATTAAGTGGTTACTTGAATCGCAGCATTTAAAAAGTACGCTACTGGCTTCAATCTTCAGAGTTTAGTTTGTTAAAATAGCATTAAGTTTGCTCTGTTCCTATTACAATGCCATTTTAAATGTGCTGAGGAGTCGGTGTGCACGTATCAAGATTGTCAGGTGTGTGTATGTGTGTGTGTTATAAAGTGCAGCCCTCTGATCAATGTGCACTTTTTCCTCCCATTTTTCTAAATACATCATGAAAAAAGGATGAGGTTTCCGCCTTAATTGCTTGTGCCTTTTATTCACATTCCTCTCTCAGCCAGAATTGTGAAAAGAGTGTTAGTAAAAGGCTGCACAATGGAGCTTTTCATTAGGCCTCAGCAAGGCACACAAAAGAAGGCTTTTGGAAAGAGTGAATGCATGAGTTTAATTTGCAGGTGGAGAGTAGATAAAAGGTGCTGACGCCTCTATTATTCTCTTACTTAGGTGACCCTTACCCTGTTCAGCTGATCCCAACTACCATGGCAGCTGCTGCCGCAGCAACACCAGGCTTAGGCCCACTCCAACTGCAGGTAAGTCGGGAAACAATACGGAGGAGACAAAGGTTAAGTAAATACTGAAAACAGCTATTATCCTGTTAAAGCAAAATAAACCCAACTACTGATAGCTGTCTCACACTTTTCTGTTTTTGAATTTATTTGTGCTGATCCTCAACCAAAAGTTGAGATGTTGATTCTTTTCATTTTTAGCCTGTTTTCTGTACTAAAGATAGCTTATTGTGTGTGTGTTTTTTTAATTGCCTGGAATGATTTAACAAAAAGAGCTGTAGTTTTGCTTTGATTACCATGTGCTGTAATTTTGTCACCGAATGATCCTCATCAAGGCTCAGAAAACAAAAAACCTACAAAAGGTGTTCAAACAGGTACTTATGGATCAAGGCAACTTAACCAAATTACTTTTCAAATTGTGGCCCAGTAGTACTGAAGCACCCTGTAGGTCTCTTTATTTCCCTGCTAACTAACGCCTGCGCAGTTGGGCAAGTGAAGGCAAGTAGACCAAATAGGCAGGTACCCAAATGAGCACTGTTTATGGAGACAACCCAATTAAGACCTTTTTATCCCTGCAGAATATATATTCTTATACATCCAAGAATGTCAGTGATTACTTTACTAAACAAGCAAGTGGTTTTTGGAAATTTCGTCTCTGTGGTTGAAAAGAATATCAATAGAATTATATTAAAGGCATTTTCACTATTTAAATCTTTGAATCAGCATTCTCCAAAATTTTCCTTAATTTCACTTATTTTAGACTATATCGTTACACAACTATAATCTTCCATTTCAAGAAGTTTCATATTTTTTGCCTGTGAAGACAGATACAGAGTTATTGTGCTTAATACAATTTATTCATATACATGAGAGTGCATTGTCATGATAGATGGTCTTCATCAATGAGGAAAGCTATAGTTGTACATGTTAATGTCAAGACGCAGACACATCTGGTCAGCAAAGGGGTTTGTCAGAAGACCTGGTGGGTTTGGAAAACCCAGCTGAACCTTGCAGGAGAAGCTCAGACATACTGAGTTCCGCAGAGGTTAATAACAGCCATTCCTCTTTTACCGTTTCTGCAAAAACCTGCCGTGTGAGTTTCTGTTTCTTTGAGCTGGAAATACCTTGGGAATTGTTGGAACCATGGGGACAATAAAAGTAACAGGACATTTCTTATGCTTTGAAATAGCACCTGTGAAATTCTATAATATAGAAAAGTGGTTGTTACAGGTAAAACTAAATAGAGTGGTAGAATGAAAGAAAAAGGGAAGAATATCCAGCAATAGATTTGAATGTGAAAAAATAAGAGCTTTAGAGATTGAGGATGTCTGTTTTCAAAGCAAGTTAGATTTTATCTTTTTCTTTCATCATTGGGTTTGTGGGAAGTGGAAGTGAAGGCAAGCTGAAGGCTTTCCCTATGTTTCATTGCAGGATTTTTTCTTTTTTAAAGATTTTATTTATTTACTTTTAGAGAGAAGGGAAGGGAGGGAGAGGGAGAGAAACATCAATGTGTGATTGCCTCTCACATAGCCCCCACTGGGGACCTGGCCCACAATCCAGGCATGTGCCCTGACTGGGCATTGAACAGGTGACCCTTTGGTTCACAGCCCACACTCAATTCACTGAGCTACACCAGCCAGGGCGTCATTGCAGGATTCCTGTAGAACGTAGCTTCCTTAGCCAACAATCCAAACTTCCTTTCCTACAAAAAACTAGAATATTTGACACAAATTGCTTTATTTCTTTTCTTATGATATAATAGCAGATTCCCTTAAAATTTAAAGGTATAAAATGTTTTTCTGTATCAGAAAACAAGAAAAAAAGACACCAAACATGCTTGATCTATAAACAGGATAAGGATCCTTTATATAAGTGGAATTGTACCCATTAAAATATACAAGATTTTTTATTGTATTTTACCGTTTATGCTATTACAGTTGTCCCTGATTTTAATATACAAGTTTTAATTAAGAGCTCAGTAAATCAACACTGTGGTATAACAAGAAGGTTAATAATCTAAAACTCCGTCATGATAAGCTATCAGCTACTATTAACACACATTTTATGCTCATAATTAAAAATGGTATTCAAATGCAAATGCAGCCCAAACTTATGATATGGCTGACCCTCTGACTTGTCTTGGAAGTTGACTGAGCCTTACCTCCCCTGGGCCGCCTGCGTCGATTCACTTTGTACTCATATCACTGGTACTGAATTCACAGATGCCTGTCCTCAACTTCAGCTTTCCCCAGAGCTACAAGAGACCTGTAACACTTCCCCTCCCCTTGCTTTAAAATAGGATCGAAATTATTTTCTTCTTCACAAACCTACCCAGATGGGTCAGAGAAAAGCTAAGTACAATGTCTAGTCAGAAGTCTTGTCTTAACTCTCATCCAACATTCACACTAAACTTGGGAAACTATTTCTAAGAAGTTTCCTCTAAGTGGAGTATAATATATGAGCCAGTTTTAATTTTCTCCAAACTCCGCTTTTAATTATATTTTGTTGAATTTTCATTTCCTATCCCTTAATATACATTTCAAGTCCCTTTCAGTTAGTAAGATTCTTTCATTTATGTAAGAAATGGAATTGCCAAAGAACTTACACCTGTGACCCATAGACATGAACAAAGAGCAGGATTGCTGGAGGGAGTGGAGGATGCTGGGTGGAGGGGGACGAGGGGGCAAAATTGGGACAACTGTAATACCAGTATAATCAATAAAAATAATGAATTAATTTTAAAAACAATTCGGTTCTAGATACTTGTGCTAGATTCTCTAGTAAGGTTTTCGCAAGAATTATTTCATTTTTATTATACTACTTTGTGTTGCATGTTAATGTCTGCATTTGACAAAGAAGATGAGTGCCAGAGTCCAAAATCTATAGTTTTTTAAACAATTACATTTGCTTCTCCCAATACGAGTGTTATTATTTGATACTTTGAGGACATTGCTCCTCTTAAGACATTTGCTAACTCAGTAATATGCTAATAGAACTATAACAATAATGCTGATCAATTGACACTTATACAAACGCTCTTTATAAATTGCAATACTGAAATGACAGCCCTCTACTTCAATTTTTGCATGTTTTATTTCATACCTCTTTGTAAATATATATATATTACATATGTACATATATGTATACATATACATATATATTCAAGCTTTTTTTAAGGATTTTATTTATTTATCTTTTTAGAGGAGAAAGGAAGGAGAGAGGGAGAGAAATATCAATGTATGGTTGCCTCTCTTGCGTCCCCTGCCGGGAACTGGCCTGCAACCCAGGCATGTGCCCTGACTGGGAATTAAACCTTGATCCTTTGGTTCGCAGGCCTGCGCTCAATCCACTGAGCTACACCAGTCATGGCTATTCAAGCTTCTTTTTAAAAAATACCTATATTTGCTCCAGCTGGTGTGGCTCAGTGCATTGAGTGCTGGCCTGCAAACCAAAGGGTTGCCAGTTTGATTCCCAGTCAGGGCACATGCCTGCGTTGCAGGCCAGGTCCCCAGTAGGGGGCGCATGAGAGGCAACCACATATTGTTGTTTCTCTCCCTCTTTCTCTCTCCTTTCCCTTCTCTCTAAAAAGAAATAAAATATTTAAAAAATTAAAAATAAAAATATCTAGATCTAAGGAGAGATGCTATAAATACATTCCTACCCATGGCTGACTTTTTTTAACCTACCATTTGTGTTTACCTTTTAAATAATTGTATGCATATAATTGTTCATTCTTGGATAGTATTATGTCAAGTAAAACCCATAAACAGTATATTTATTTTAAAAAAGAATATAAAGATAATACAATTAGTTGAAAAGTACAGTGCAATGGCATGTTTTAAATTAAACCACCTTTTATTAAATATTATTTTTTGTTCATAGATACAATAATGAAATATTTACCATGAAATAAAAATACTTTTCATTTTAACATCACCTTACTGTATACTTTTAGGTGCAGTTAAAATAATCTAAGCATTAACATGTATTTATTTTTCATAGAAAAAAATAACTGATTTAGATTAGGTCCATAAAGCATACAAATTAACATTTTTAACAAAGCACCATTGTATTTATTTCTTTTATAATGAAATATCCTTGTTTCTTCTTCCTCTTTGGTCTTTTCTGAACTTGAGATGCATATAGCCAACTATTTATCAGCCACTTGTTTGATATTCAGAGGAAATATGTAGATGTGTACAGACAATAGAAATTGAGAATAAAATAAAACTCACTGTTTTTTTCCTTGCCCCCCAACCTGCTCCTTCTCTGGTCTTTGAAAATAGCTTAATTTCATCTATCACTCAACCCGGAAACATAAAAACCATGTTTAACTGCTCTTCCTCTGTAACAATTCATTCGTGCTACCTACTATATACATCAGGAGTTCATTTATTTGTATCCTTTGTAACTGTCACTCTTCTGAGGGAACTATCCTAATTGCTTGGTTCATTTACCATGGTAGCCACTAAACTGGTCTTTCTGTCTGCATCTTGCCTCCTTCAATGTACTCACTACTTATAGATTAGTCTGATGATCTTTTGATTTTAAAAAATCTATCACATCCTCCCACACCCACATGAAGACCTCAAATGATGCCCCAGTGTTATCAAACCCTCTTTCCTTTCTGGGTCTTTATGTGTGGTGTTTCTTCTTCCTGAAGCTTTACCTACATCTTTACCAGGCCAACTCCCACTTACCCCTAATATTCCAAGTTTAAACATCACTTTTTCAGGGAAGACTTCAGTGCCCCCAAGTCTGGAGTAATGCAGTTCTTGCATGTACCCAGAGCACACGATGTTTCCCTACTCACACAGCCCTTGTAAAACATGTTTGAAATCCTACTTTCTCACCGCTACCAGATGGCAAAATCCATGAAGTCAATGACTCATTATCATTTGTCTTAAAATATTTTTAAAATATTTTATTTATTTTTAGAGAGGGGGAGGGAAAAAGAAAGGGAGAGGAAAAGCAATGAGTTGTTGCCTCTCGAATGCCCCATACTGGGGACCTGGCCCACAACC